TATACATTTTCACATCACTCAACGCCTTACGTCCTTATGTATGGTAACAAACTGAGTAGAAGAAGCACAAGAAGTGAAGATACATATGCTTTATACTTCATACACTCTTTTCTCCATTCCTTTAACATCATCATCACCGTCATCATCATTACCATTTTAGAAATGTGATGTTGTAAAATTTAAAAAGAGGAAAAGGGAAGCATGTAAAAATGAAGGAAATCATAAAATCATGATGACTCTTTTAAAGTATTCATCATAATTAGTACTCCCTTGGAGAGAGTTAGTTTCAAAGTGTAATACAAACTCTTCATTTTACTTTACTTCCAACATAATTTTAAGTTTTCTTTCTCTTTGGTGCTTGTGCTGTATTATTATATTTTTTTTTTTTTTTTGGTGTAAATGAGATGAAAAGTTTTTTGTTTGTGGGGTTTCTTTTGGATTGAGATGTGTTTATGGCGCAGATTTTGAGGTTGAAGAATATTTAAAGAATCCATTTTTATATGCTTGAAGATTTAGGAAAGCATGAATAGAACCTAGATGCAGGGCTTGCTGAAATTTGAGCTCATACCTAGATCTACAGTTAAAAGCTAAGGTTTAGAAATCCTTAGGATAGAAGCTTTAATACTCTTAATTCACTGCAATTTTAACTGTTTCTACAACACGAACCACAGTTGATCAAACTCCCCAAAAAACACCCCTTTGTAAAAAGCAATTCATAATTTTTTAACAGCATCATAAACGACATGATTCAATTCATACAAAAAAAATAAAATCAACCACAAAACTCATTAACACAGAACCCCGACAGACTAAAAACATCAACACATTTTAAATAAAAAAAAAATATAATTCTCATAAAAAGCCCTAAATAGAGTAAAAAGTTTCAATGCTTCTCGAGGAAGAAATTTATTTTTATTTACTTGTGACAAATTTTTATGATACCACAATGGGAATTTGCTAAAAATGACAAAAGGAAGAAATTTTCGACAATTTCTGTGAACAAAAAACTAAAGTTGAATTTTTTTTTTGATGGTTAGATCTGGTTCATAGTTGATCTGAAGTCAAAACATCATTTGTATGAAGAAGTCGACTGCGAGTCGACTCAAGTTGACACCGAGAAACCTTCTAGCTCTGGGTCTTTCTTGATTCCTTAGCAGAAGCACAAGTTTGTTAACCATAAAAGCATATAATATGTTTAAAAAATATTTGATGGACGTCACTTACAAACAGACTCTAAAAACAGCCTCAACTTGAGCAAAAAAATTTTATTTTTACAAAAAACTTTTTTTATTATCTAGTTCTGTATTTGTTGATTTTTTTTATGACAAATATCATCATTTCTCTTTATGGACATCAAAACTCATGATGAATATTGTTCTAATTTCTCGAGAAAAGTCAAAACTTTTTTTTTGTCTTGTCTTCTTGGTTATCGCACAAAAAAAATCATTCACGGATATTCTATCAATGCTTTGGACCAGCATGATTGAGATTTTGTTTGTCAAGTCCTCGAGAGCTCGTTAAGACTTTTTTTTAGTCGAAGAACAACAAGACATAAAATAAGAAATGAGTTTGTCTTGTTTCACATTGTTGAGCATTGTGGATTATCGATGATTCATAGCTATGATTATCGATGACTGAAGGATTTGAAAAAAAGTTATTAATATCTTCATCAAAAATTCTGAGAGTATTTTAAAGGAAAAAAAAATTTCATCAAGAGTTTTACGTTTTTTTTCTCATCTTGTTGATTTTGTGGCTTATTGGGATGTGGATTTGGAGATTTTAGTACAAAATTGTTTGGCAATTTTTGATGTTTTTTCATTAAACTTTTCCCATTAATTTATTAATAATTTATCATGTGGTTATTTAAGGTCGGTTGTGTTTTGAGATGTAGAAGTTATTGAGAATTATAGCTTGATTTATTGGGAAGTTGGGGAGTTGGGGAGTGTGTTGGAGGTACCTTAAAAGTGTTCCAGTTTCATCTTAATTTTTAACATAGTATAGTTCAAATGGAGGCCCAGCTATTGGTTTGGATGCTTCCACTGAATCTTAACTAAGGTTTTAAGCTTGAACTGCTGCAACAAACAACAAAAACTTTTGATCAGAGTTGCGAAACAGGTCACCTGTGACAGGTGAGAACCTTTCAATTCCTTGATAATTTGTATGGTTTTGTTAGAAAAACCTTATAAATTATCAAGAAATTGTAGGGTTCTCACCTGTCACAGGTGCCTGTTTCGCAGCTCTGCTTTTGATATTTAATTAAAATAATATTCTGCTAAGGTTCTGATGTCAGTAATTATAAAATTTGTCAAGGTTCCACTTAAAATCTCCAAAAATAAATGTTTTGTCTAATTGAGCCAAATTAATCAACAAAAATCAGTTTAAGGACTGTTCATAAATGACGTTTTTACGAGATTTTTAGACCCCTTCCCACCTCCTTGTCACAAAAATGCCATGAAGTAAGTTTTATTTCAACCGTCACAAAACGTCAACCCCCCCCCCCAAACGTCAAATGTTGAACGTCATTTATGAACAGCCCCTTAAATAATTTTAATAAAAATCATTTTGCCAAAATTATAAAATAATTTGGTATTTACTAATTGACTAAGCAGCTCCGAAAATATCACAAAAATAGCTACACAATAAAATTTCCAAGTAAAATGTCTAAGGACGGAATTATCGTTGAAAATTATTGAAAACTTCTTTTTATCCAAAAAAATTTGTCATGCTGCTTCATTAAGCAATATTTTTTTCCACAAAACTCTCGATGATGAAGGAGCAGAAAAGCGTCTTAATTAGTCATGATTAAAGTGAATTTACCCCAAAGTTATCAAAACAAATCAAAAAGAAAAACAAAACGTGTGCGCATAGTGAATGCTATTCAATCAATAATTATCGTAGCGAAAGGAAGCCCCAAACACTCAAAAGAGTAGGTCAATGAGGCTGTTCATGTACTAATCTCATTCCTATCTTCATCTTATTGACAAAATCTCTTAATTAAAATCAAATTTCCAGATTTGTTGTGCTTCACAAAAAAAGAGATTTTTCAGCATGAACAAACTTTTATTTCTTGTTAAATTCAGAAGAGCGACAAAAAGTTTTTTTTTTTTTTGTTGGAAAGTCAAACAAAAAGCTTGTCGAAGAAATTCATGCCGACCGTCGAAATTGTCGTCAATAACAATCGGATGATGATGATGATGGTAGAATAAGAAATTAAAATCGCAACCACGCATTTTTATGAACGCTCGAAAAGTCAGCTATCAATATTAATTTAATTAATTTTAATTAAAATGAGCTGGGAGCCTCCGCATCTTAGAAATAGAAAAAATGGTTTCTCGTGAAAAGTTTTTTGCAAATTAGAGCATTTTGTGCTTCTTGTCTGGTTGATTGAGCGGAATTTTCACTGACTTTGCGATGAGAGGAATTTGATTTGATTTATTTGGGATGCTACTTGAAAAGGGGGATTAACGGGGGGCTATACAAGTGGGTCTAGGAGTTTTGAACTCATTTAATCTTCTATTGATGATTTTTTTGTACATTATTACTGCTTTTGTTGAAATGCTGATCAACCTACAACTAACCTACACCTAACCTACACCTAACCTACACCTAACCTACACCTAACCTTCACCTAACCTTTACCTAACCTTAACCTTACCTCCACTAAAGCCAACTATTTCAATTATCAAAAATGCACTCCAATCTTATCAACCAAGCATCTTCAACTTCCAATCTTATCATTTCAAGCACAAAAAAAGGGGAACTTTTTGATGAACTCATTAGTATTGATGGATAGTCTCAACAAACTCTGGCCGTGACCTTTTAAATTCTTCATCATCATCTAAACAAGATTTCTCGTTTCCCATCTCATTTTCTTGTTTTATGATATTTTTTTAGGCATAAGTACACACAAATTCATCATCGAGGAAGGAAAAGAGATGAAACGGACAGTGAAAAAATATGGGGGGCAGGGTTGGGTACTTTAGGTTCATTTGTGGAAAGACATTTTCTTGAGGCATCAATAATACGAATCTCAACCTGATTAGGACACACTAACGACCAAGTAGATGATTTATAATCAAGTGACAGCTCTTTAGTATAGCTGCTATAAAGTTATCTTTTGAAAATCAGCTGTAGATTGATTTTAGACCATATCTGAAGCACCCCACCCCTGCAAACATACATACAGATGCGAACACAAAAACAAACGACTGCCGAGCCGAAACAACAAGAAGAAGAAATATGAAAAGCAATCTTTGTTGCTTCACTTAATGCAAAAGGCACAGAAAACAGAAAGGCTTATTTGAATAAAGCTTTTATTGGCTAAAATAGAGGAAAGCTGTTGTTTTATATAATGCAGAAAGTGGGGATTAAAGTGAGATTAAAAGGGGTTTATAGCTTTTTATTTCTGTGCTTCTTCTTCCCTTTTCTCATCATTTTTATCATCATAGCTATCCTCTATATCCCTCAACGCGTACTCAATTAGGTTTCAAAATAAAAGGCATTTGTTGTGTTCCTTTTTTTTCTAGAAATAAATATCCTCTCTTTATTGTGTTGATGAGACTTCCATTTGTGCCTTTTTTTTTGATGAGCTATTTAAGGACTGAGCTTTGATTTGTTCAATTTTTGTTGAGTTTGGATTGTCTTGCTTGATGATTATTGTGAAGTTGCTCGTTTGAGAAAATTGAGGGCAGTTGAGTGAAATGGACATGCTTTTGTGTCGAGTTTCAAAAAGTTTAATTTGACATGCAAGAGAGAATTTTGATGCCGTCTAAAGTTGGTTTGATAGAAAGCTATGTAAAGCTATTGCTACCAAAGCTATTATCATCAAAGCTAGTGTCATAAAAGCTAGAGTCATCACATACGATGATTAACTATTAAAGAAAATTCCCCAATTCTTCAAATCATTCAAAAACGGAAGCTTATCTCCAGGCAAGGGATTAAAGATAAAGTTCAAGTAACAGGTATTTCCCAATACACTTGTAAGACTTGATAACCGCAATCAAGCACTTAATTTTCGATTTCTTTAAAAAAATGATAACACAACTTTTTGATATAAAATAAGGTGATTTAAACTTCAATTTCAAGTCAGTCTACACACTTTTTGATACCTTCAACATCAACTTTTTTTGGGGCATCAAAAATGAAGTCGATTTTTGTGATTTTGGTTCTTTCACTCTTTGCTTTAAGTGAGGCCAGATACTTCAAAATTGGATACGATCAACAACCATTGCCAAGCAATCCAAATAAAGCATATGCAAGTAGAATTGTGAATGGTGAACCAGGTAAGTGCTATGGCTGTAAAATCAACATTAAAATTAATAAATGTCCTTTTTTAGCTGACATTGCTGAGTTCCCACACATGCTTGTCCTTTTGGATTTGACTGTTGGAGGTGAGTTGTGAATTTTGTCAATGATGCAATAAAAATTTTATGAATTTTTATTTAGGATTCATTTGTGGTGCTTCAATCATCAGCAGAACATGGACACTCAGTGCTGCTCGTAAGATTTATTCAATTTTAAAGCATATAAAGCTCCTAAAAATGTAAAATAAATTTCCCCCTCCAGATTGCCTTGAGTTCAATGTCCCAGCAAACCTCATCAACTTCCGTGCCGGATCAACAAACAGACTTTCAGGTGGCACTGTCTATATTGCTGCATCTTATCATCTCCATCCTCAATATAACACAAGAACTTTGGAATTTGATGTTGCTGTCGCAAGAACAACTGAACATATGGATGGAATTAATATCACTCCTGTTGCACTTCCACCAATTTGTAATACAATTTGTTGTACAGTTTGTGAGAATGTAGCTGTGACTACATCAGGTTGGGGAGTAAGTATGACTTAAGCATTTAACTTTAATTATTACAATCTGGATAATTTGTAATTAAACTTATTAAATTACTTAGCGTAATGAAGCTGGAATTTTCCCAGCGAATCTAATGCAATTGACAAAACCAATCCATGAATTCAATGACTGTGTGAGAATCTGGGCAACATTCAGAATTGTAATTACTGAAGACTCATTCTGTAAATCAGCTTTCGACAGCAGAGACACATGCAATGGTGATTCTGGATCTCCATTGGTAATTGGTGAAGGCGCTAATAGAGTTCAAGTTGGTGTTGTCAGGTGAGTCAAAAATCTTTTCGTATGCTTAGAATGTATTCAAATAACTCCATCATTTTAGTTTCGGAGCTCCAGTATGCGGAGACAATAGCCGTCCAAGTGGAAATGCAAGAATTGAACATCCAGCAATCCGTTCTTGGATCACTAATATTAGTGGCATTTAAATGACTTTAACCTTTGAAGCAAATAAAATTTGAAACGACTTTTCGATAAACTAATCTTAACTGCTGTTTTATTATTAATAGCTTTTTAATTTGTTGCCAATTTGTTGCAGATAAAGCAATCATTTAACTCTCTTATCTTACTTTTAAAGGTTTTATTTCCAAACCTATTTCTTTTCATACATAAGCTCATAAAATAACATATTCATATCAAAATTAAGGATAAATCACACAAAGCAGATAATCAAATTAAGTGAAATATGTAGCATCAGGCGCGTAGCCAGGGGGGGGGGGGGGGGATTTGGGGGACAAATCCCCCTTCGTCTTGAGAAATTTTTTCATTTTGCTAGAGTTTTTATAAAAAACTCGAACCCCCCCCATCCCCCCCCCCCCCCCCAGAAGTTATCCATCCAAAAAAAAATTGCCCCTCCCCCTCTTCAAATTCCTGGCTACGCCCCTGTGTAGCATCACACATGAAAGTGAGACAAAAGTCTTTTGAAGAGTCGACACAAAAATAAAAGATGAAGCACTTGATGGAATTAAATTGCAAAAATGAGGAAACTTTTCTTTGGCTTTTTTGTTATAGTTTTTGAAAGTTCCTCTACATGTGCTCATTTAATTTAGGGTTTGTTTAAAAATGACGTCACATGGAATGAAATGGAGACTTGAATCAGAGAATCCCACACTCCCCCTCCTGCATCTTCTGTTTAAAAATCCAAAAATTATTTTAACCAATACAGCAATTCACACAAAATCAATTAAATTAAATTGAAACCTTCAAATCCACATCAGAAAATTGAATTTAAAAAATTCTGCTTTCCAAAGAACTGCTGAGGTTTCAAGTAAATTAAATTGCATTTAAAAATTGCACAAAACTTTCTTTTTCAAACTGTTGCTGAACCTTAAATACAGTAAATTTATATGATTCAAATCATACAATGATCTTTTTTTGAGCCAAAAAGATCAAATAAGAAGCAACTTCAATTAAAGTTTGAGATTATTCTTTTGAAGAACTTTCGAAATTATTCATCATGTTGAACTTCCTCTTATTTTAACAATTTATTTAGAGAAGTAAGAATAAAGCAAGCTTTAACTGAAAAGTTAAACGAAGAAGGAAATTTTGTGGGGTTTGCGTTTGGGAGGTCGTGCGTAAATGACGTTTTAAATTAGGATGGTATCAAAATTAAGTCACACTCTGTACTCTAAAGACTCAAATGATTATTGAAAGTTTTGTGACTGCTAGAATTGATGAAAAACGAGCTATCAAATCTAATGCTTATTAAAAAGACGTCATTTGTGAATGATCCTTGCATCCTCTTGAAGAAGGAGAAAAAACTTTCAAGAACATCTAAAATTCCTTTCTTGGTGCTAAAAAAAGGCATGATCGGATGTTTGTTTTTGTGCTTTGTCTGATATTCTTGGAGAATTCTTGTGTTTTTCTTGCCTACGACCTTAAAAATTTCTTTCTGAAAATGTTAAAAATTGTATTGGGTTCATAAAGACAGGCACATTGCTAGGGTCAGGAGAGGTTCTGTCACAAATTCACATCTTTCATAAGGGGGCTCAAACAAAGATTCCTTTATTCTTAACCCATTAGTGCCACAAAAATGCAATTAACAAGTAAGAAATCACCAAAAATGCGCTTTGTACACTCAATACTCATTAGTTCCTCGCCAAAATATCTGGAAATAAGAAAACTTTCAAAAAGGAAGCTCCTTTGAAGCAACAACATCAAGACGAGCAGTATTTCTTTAAGCAATATATCTTACAAAAGCCAAAGATCCATTAGCTCTGGGTTAATATTATTTTGTGGATTACAGCAAGACATTTTTCTTCAATTTCGTCCTTTTTACTTTTTTTTGCAACATTCATATCGTCACATAGAAAATCCAAAGCCATCAAGTTATGTGCTCTGTCGGAAGAAAAGAAAAGAAGAAGGAAGAAAAGTACGAGAAAAAGAACCTAAAAAGGGAGCAAAACCCTTTTCTCGAGTTTGTGGCGAGAATAAATTTTTATGTTTTATGATCTCATGTTGGATGAAATTAAATATTTTAATGCTTTATAAACCATTCTATGCCCCTCATACTGCTGTATGCTTCTTTTGGGTTCTTCTCATATATATATTTCAATTTTAGCACATAATTATAAATGGTGATTTTTTTTTGGGGATGATGAGCAATTTGGGTAAGGAATTTAAATAAATAAAGGTTCAAGGAGGTCGAGAACCCAAGATTTGGACTGAGACCATTGATGACTAAACCCTTAATGTCCAAAAGCCTCTAAAACATTCCATAAGTCTCAAAAAATGCGCTCTAATCACCTCATCCATCAGTATGCGTCAAAAACTCATCTTCATCCTGCTAGAGCCTCAAATTCTCTCCCTTATATTAAAAGAAATGTCGAGTGTGTCGATTACAGACAAGAAGCAAATTTCAATAATCAAATTATAAGCCCAAAGAATATATGTGCATGCATATACACATATTCGGATATTATAGGCATCCATATCGTCTCACATTCAGGACCTTTCAATAATGTATCTTCGACACACTTTTTTTCATTTCTTCCTCTTTGCTCTTTGCTTCATCATACATAAAAGCTCATAAAATTTTCATTTCAATAAATAAATTTACCCAAAGTCTCTCCTTTTTTTTCTATCGACTTGTCTTCAATGACTGCCTGAATGTGCATGAATGTTGAAGCTTTTCTTTCTTATAGCTTATTCAACATCTTCATCTACTTGGTAGCTCTTGGTACTTTTTGGATATTTGCTAGCTTTGTATTATGAATATCCTCTATTGTTAGAGGATGTAGATTTTTGATATTTTTGATGTTTTTTTTTGTGGTTTTTTCGAGCTATCAAAGTATGAAAAGAGAGTTGTGAGTACGAGCTGTGTTGTCCTGGAGTCAACTTCAAACTCTGTAGATTTGTTGAAGCCTGTATGAAGCCTGGCTTCATTCTTAAAACCTTTCAATACCAATCTTGATGATAGCTCAACAACATGTTCAAACATAAGCCAGATTTCACAAATTCCCAAAACACAACTTTAAGTTTTGTCAATCCTTTAAATTCACCCTAACTTAAGGAGATCGCAAAACTTACTTTAAGAACCACTGCAGTAAAAATGAATTTTAAATATGAGCACATTCTTATTATCAACAACAACAAAAAGAAACTATTCTCTCGAGAGGAAGAGACTTATTCCTCTCATAGACTGCACATCATCATGATATGATAACCTTTAAACCAACGTATGATTTCACAATACTTATTTTTATTCCATATGATCTTCTACATGCTTATTTAACTCTTTGTACATATATTCGCTGATTTTGGTGAACATTTTATTTTTGATGTTTAAAGCGCATCTATATAAAGGTTGACTTTGACTTTTTTATGACCCCATTTTCATGTGAGTAGTCAGGAGGTGTGTGAGCTTCCGGTTTTTCTTAACATAGTCTGATCAAAATGATAAATAAAATGCGTGTAAAAAGCAATTGTACAGTTCTATAGACTTGGTTCAAGTCTTAAGACTAATTTTAGATTATAAGTTATACCTTATTACTTATTACGTAACATGAAAAAATGACTTTTAAGACCCCCCTAACAAAATTTGTGTAACGAATATTTCTTTTGTTTGTACCGCAGCAAAATCTTAGACCTCCTCTCCCAATAAACCCCGTTACGTAATAAGCGAACGGCCCCTTAGACAATTCAGACAGAAGATCACTCAAATTATCTTCACATCCAATTTCTATACCCCAATATAGTTTGACGTCATATGTTTAGTTCAGTATTGCATTTATTCATATGACGTACATCCAATATGATCTATGATTTTCATGAATACACCAAAAAAATAATTCATTGGAGCGAATGAGCAATAAAAACTTCATTATTCGACAGAAAGCTTCAGAATAAAAAAGTCGAATGAATCTTTTGATATTGAATGAGTGAGCCGATTGAGAGAAACCCCAATAAACTTTGATTTGATTAATATAATTCCATCTCAACGATATTTTGGAAGCGATTAAATAATTTCTCATTACTCTCTTGAATGAGCCGCATGAAGACTGAAAATTAAATTTCTTGCTTCTTTGACTCAGTTTTGGAGATGCAGTGAGTCGAAGATAATCGTCTTAATAGAAGAAAAGAAAGAAAAAAAATTAAAATGGAACAAATTCTGATTCATTTAATTTTATTAATTATTTTCACTTCAGCAGTTTATGGATTTTCCATTCCAAAAGTCAATGTGAAACTTTTAAAACCGAAAGGAATTCAATTTTCATTACAAGGTTCTTATTTACATTATCATGTCTTATGCCAACGACTGCAAACAAGAACTCATTTTCGGAAATAGGTACTTCATTTTCGAACTTGATTTGAATTTAAAATTTCCGTTGAAAATATTTGTTTACATTTCTTAGTCTTTATTGAATTTATAAAATTTAATTTTTTTAAAGTGGTCAGAAATTGTGTATTTACTGGCTGTAAAGGAAAGAAAACCAATAAAATACCTTTGTTTGAACTTCCAAAAGCTCTGTGCATAAAGATAAGTGGATTGAATTTCTTAAATTGCATAATATTGAATATTGCTGTGAAAAAAAATATTTCTTGTGTATTCTTGAATTTATTTATAGACAGCTTAATTGTTTTACCTTATGTTCTGATCCTTCCTTTAACCAGAAATTCATCAATACAGTAATTGCACAAATTGAAGTCGACTTTGAACATTGTCAAGATACAATTGATAAATTATTAAAAGTTTTTGTTGAATTCAGAGTAAAATTACAATTTAAAAGTCGATTGGTACATAAAAGGAATAATTTTGCTTCAAGAAATAACTAAAATAAATATATTTTTATTAATTCCCTAACGATCATTTATTTTTTAAAAAGTTTAATAGTTTGAAATTTTTCGAATTTCAGTTTGAATTTTTCGAATCTAACTGAAGTTTTCTTTGTTTGCAGTCGTTGGGTCTTATGCTGTACATTGATTCGATTATGTATTTGAGTTTACCTCAAGCTATTGAGACTAATTGTCTTGAGTACTAGGGTTGCTGTTTAGAAGTTTGTCTAAGGTTGATATGTCTGCAAATGATGAGCTTAGAAGCCATTTAAAGAAAAATTCATTTTAGGTGTCTAGACTAGACAACCACTGAATCTGTGATTAGTATCTAGTTGCATCTGGTGCCTTGTCACTATAACATCTAAGAACTTGCTATATAAGCTAAGATCTAAGTTGGTTAGACAACTAAATCAATATTTCACAACATAACATCCTCAAAGCACAACAACTTTAAAACTTAATCATCCAAAATTTAATTTGTTTACTCCATCCCAATAACGAGAGCGCGATAATGAACAGAATAAGAAGACGCCGACCATGAAGATTATTCAAGGATGCGAAATATTTTACTTAATATTAATTAAATTCTCTCTGTTTTTGTTTTCTTTTCATGCCTACATGGGAACTTAACACACGCTAAAAATGAAAACAACAACAAACTTCATTTCTGTCGCTCTCGTGTGCTGACAACATAAATACGTGAATCAGAGGAGAATGACGACGTTCTTAGCGATGTCAGAATTTTCATATTTACATCAAAAGGCTTAATAAATAATTTACAATATGTTGAAAGTACATTGACTAAAGATGATAGTGGATTATGGATTTATCAGACATCAAATACAGCTTTTACATCCGATGATAGCATTGAATATTGGATGTATGTTGAGCATAATAATTTTGGATATTACACAAGTCAAAATGTTAAAGTTAAAGGTGAAATTTTCCTTTTATTTGTTATTTTATGCTTAACATGACTTTTATCTCATAAATAGACATTGATTATGCTCTAGAACAAAAGCCATCAGAAAATCCAACACCACCAATTTTGAAAAAGATCATGTACCCTGACGTCAATGTTAAACTTTTAAGTCCTAATGGAATACGCTTTTCGATCGAAGGTACGTTGACTTTATGACTGTTTTGAAAAGTTTATGTCAATTATTTCTAGAGTGAGTGGTTGTAGCGCGCTTTTCTCGGAAGATGGCTACTTACTGGATCCAAATTTAATAGTGAATAGTGACCTAACCTATGTCTAGTTGCTAAACCTAACCTCCAACCAATTTGATTCAATCTACTCTAACCTAACCTTATCTTGATCAAACATAATCTAACTTAGCCTAGCCGAGCCTAACCTAGCCTAACCTAACCTAGCCTAGCCTAAGCCGGCCTTACCTAGCCTAACCTGACCTTACCTAACCTAACCTCACTTGACTTAACCTAACCTGACCTTACTTAACCTTACCTCACTTGACTTAGCCTAACCTAACCTAACCTGACCTTACATAACCTAACCTAGCCTAACCTAACCTAACCTGACCAATCTCATTAGAGAAAATCGCGCTAAAATTACAAATTTTTCATATTTTATGATGTTAAAAACTCATTAAAAATATGTTCACCTCTCATTTCTTTTTCTATGCTTTTCCATCATTAACTTACATCCGCCAACGAGGTACAGAAGACGCAGACATAATAAACAACGTCAAATTAATAATTTTTGCATCAAAAGCCATCGCTAATAATTCAAAATTAATTGAAGTGCCACTAATAAAAACCGATAATGGAATGTGGATTTATGAGCTGCCGACTACACCATTAAAGGCTGACGATTTTATCGAATATTGGTTATATGGCGAAAGATATGGCGTGGGATTTTTCACTAATCATGTAATTCAATTAAAAGGTGATGTATTTATGAATTTTGATGGAAATTATTTGCTTAATTTATGGAGCTGAACGATGATGTGCAATTAAACGGATTTCCAAGGAATCCAGCCATATAATTGGATCTGAGTTTATTAAAAGTTGATGTTGGTTGGTTTCAGTTGGTTTGATGATGAAATATTCAGGTTTCATAGACAGAACTGTCTAAATAGTGATGAACTGCATGTGTCCAGTGTATAGCACAGTGGCAAAGCAAAAGGAACTGAACTAAAGAATTATGTTTAAAGCTACAGCATTAATTCCAACAACTGTTAAAGTCTCAGAAATCAATGTCGACCTTGCAATTAGACATGTCTCCACGTTGATGTTACAATTCATAAAGCTTATAGACAAAACATCTTACACAATCTACAGCGACTTTTCGGAATCAGTTCTAATTAAATTGTCACAAGCATTTCCTCTGGGGGTGATGGAGAACAAGTCGTTGAGTCTTTTCTTTTCTCTTGAAAATCTTCTTACCGATGTTTTTACATTAAAGTAATTTTTTGTGTGAATTTAATTTAAAGATTTGCAAGTCTATCAACCTGATGAGATGTCAAAGTCACTTACGACAGATACCTTGAAGGTGGCATATCCAGATGTTGATATTTTAATGATCAGAGACGATTGGATTCGATTCTCGTTGCAAGGTAAATTAAATGAAATTTATTTTGTGAATTTTAAGGATTTTTTGTGACATCTAGAACTGCGTCTAGATTCTAAAAACATTCATATGACATTCAATTTCAGAGACATCTGACGCCTACACCTCAGTCAAGATCCTCTTTTTCGCGCCAATATATAAAAATTCAAAATTTATTGAATACGATCTAAATCGAGACGATAGTGAGAGATTATGGATTTATGAGATGCAAAACGTCCCTTTGAAGTTCAACGATGTTATCGAATATTGGATTTACGCCGAGAATTCAAATGTTGGCTTCTTCGACAGCAAAGTGGTTCGAGTTCAAGGTGAGTTTTTATATTATTGAACATTTCAAGTGAGATTTTACATTTGTGATAAGAAGTTGGCAGACATAAAAGATTTTTATTTGGGAAAATCTTTATATTGAATTTTTGGTCTAATATGCATTTCAAAGGTTCAAGAAGTTGAGTGAAAATTGATATTGAATTTAAAGTAGTTGAAAAATCGATGATAACCTTCAGAATGTTCAAGGTCTGAATGTTATTTTTAACCTTTTTCAACTTTTATACTTTCGTGCTGATTGTTAAAGAGTTTTGAGGGTTTTTAAAGTTTTGCTGAATTTTTCGTCTATGAAACTGCTAATTAAGTTTCAAATTCATAGAAATCTACTCCAAAAAATCTAAATTCCCTCTAATCCTCTAGATATAATTGATAATCATTCATCCGATCTACAAAGGTCTCTCCCACACGTAACCATCAACAACACATATCCAATTATTGACGTAAAGATTGAAGAAACTAAAACAATTCAATTTTCGCTACAAGGTATGATCAAAAAGGGTAGCATTTCATATATTGTATCTTAAGTTGGCATTTTTGACATTTCAGAAGACAGCGACGCCTACAACGATGTTAAAATTCTGTTATTTTCCCCGAATATCGCCATAAACAAAAGTCAAGGATTTATTGAGAATCAGATGAAACGAGATGACAATGGATTATGGTTTCATCAAATTCAAACGAGCATTCCTTTGAAGTACAATGATGTTATTGAATATTGGGTATATGTAGAGAATTCGCACGTTAGCTTCTTCTCAAACGGAGTATTTAAAGTTCAAGGTGAATGAGCTTTTTATTGATGATTTATGAACTGAATTTTGATTTTTAAATGAGTTGAATTAGGGATTTGCTGAGATTTGAAGCAGATCTAATCAAAGGAAATATTAACTTGAATTATGATCTGAGTAGATTTCAGTAGTCTGGGTATCTAGGGTCATTTTATGTCTCGGTTCTTTACACATTTAGCTTTTGTACTCGGGTCCATCCAGAGGTTGACACTACAGTGTGAGAAGCCCTTAAAACCCTATACTCTAAGTTTAATGCTGATATCCTCAAGCACTTCTACAGTGACTATAGGAACTTAATAAGCATTGTCAGATATTTGCTGAAATTCCGTAAAAATGCACAGTCTAGAAGCAGCATCAAATCGAATTTCACCTCTAATTTCCCAAATTACTACCCAATTCAATCCACATCTCACCGGATCCCTAATTCAACCGCAAATTTATGCGCATACGAATGTATGCAGATCAGCCAAATAAAAAAACATTTTTCCTCTTTCTCTCCATATCTACCATGAAAAATGATGAAAATTAAAGACATTGCAGCGTCATTCAATGAAGAGACGACTACACCAGCATCAGCAACAACAACAACGAGTACGACAACAGAAATACCAATAAACTGTGAGGTATCTGTCAGTACGGTTAATGGAAAATCAGTTGGATGCAAGAATTCCATTATTTTCAATGAAGATTTTAATTCAGATAATTTGAAATATTGGAATTTCGACACTAGATATCCATTAGACGACATGCTATCAGATGCTGAATTTGTTGTCTATGAGAAGCGTCCTGAAACGTCATTTATACGTGACGATATGTTGAGTTTGAAAGCAGAATCACTTAAACGCTTATTAGGTTTTGATGATGTGCGCATACGAGTTGGAAATTACAAACTCAAGGAACGGTAAAGACATACTTTTGATCTTACTAATCTTTAATCTTGCTCATATTGTGGTTCCTTTTTATTCTCGACTACATAAAAAAAATATTTTAGATGAGAAACAAAGACTCTCGGCATGGAAAAAAAATTAATTTTCCATCTCGTTTCAGATGCACACCGCTTACAAATGATGTTGAATTAGAGTGTGAAAGACAGGCCAGATTTGGTTATATTTTGCCTCCGGTCACATCAGCATATTTAACTACGCGTAATAAATTCTCATTTATGTATGGAAAAGTTGTGGCACGAGTGAGAGGACCAGTTGGAGATTGGCTTTACGGACGTGAGTTTAATGTTTGACCTTTTTCTATGGTGGCATTTTTAAGGTGGGCCTTGACATTTAAAATGTTGTTGGAGATGAAAAGTTTTTGAGAGGTGAAACTTTCTCGTTGGTTTTAATCAAACACACAATGCTAGCAGGATGGGAGTCAGGAGCTAAGTTGAATTGGAATGGAGGTTGAAGTAATTTAAAGTTTGTCCTGGAAAGACACTAGGATTAATTCAACTCAGCTTTAGAGCTCTGATTTCTCCCAAATTTCAATGTCTTACTTATTTTACTTTGATGACATTACATTGTGATCCATGGCCTTCCTCAGATGCCGCCTAATACTGGCTCTATCGCTGTCTACCGCTTGCTAATTTACTATACCAAATGCAATACTGTCTCTATCAACAGCCTCTTTCAATTACAATGTCACTCAGCTTTAACCCAACCAACTCCACTCCATTAAATGCTTTACGTCATTTGTTAATAACTTGACAGTCTAATAGTCACTCTACACTTTCCAGACCTCCTCAAGTTCCTCTAATTTCTCAGTTTTACCTTCATTATTTTATTTCTTAATCATCTCACATTTCCCATCAGAAATCACGCTTCAACCACAACAAAAGTTAGACGAGAAATCCAATGAAGTATCAAATATCACCTCGCAGCACTTAAAAGTATTTTTCTCTAGAGGCAATGAAAATCTTAAAGACGATACGGAAGAAGTTGGTGGAAGGACTGTCTATGGAGGCGCAATTTTATCAAAAAATCCCAAAAATAATCTCAAATGGCTTAAGGTTAATACGACTTGAAGGAAAAGCACAAAAAAACCCTTTTTAAGTACTTTTTGTGTCAATTTCCTTCTTCAATGTTGACGGTCGGTCGGTAAATGTCTCACTTTTTATTATTTTGTAGATGAAAAACTTTCCAAGCACACATCTTGGCAATGATTTTCACATCTATGAGTTATTATGGACACCATCAGAAATTTCCCTTTCAATCGATGGCATAAAGTACGGTTCATTAAACACAAATTTGAGGGAGTCAGCGATGGCAGCAAGAATTAAATCAGCCGTAAATTGGGCAAATAACGGACCGTTTGATAAAGAGGTTAATGCAATTTTATGTTTATTCTGCCACTCCCCATTTTATATTTTTTCCGTTGAAGGAATAATATCATAAAGTCATCAATTTTATAGCTCTTTGATATTTGCCTTTATTATTCCTCTTTGCAGCACTTTATATCCATAAATTTGGCTGCTGGTGGTGTGAAAAATTTCTACTCGTTCAACTCGACGTTGTTAAATGGAATTGCGCTGGAACCAAAGCCATGGAATGATACAGGTTAGTGAACTGTTGGTCAACAATTGATTTTTTTTGCTAGTTTTTTGTGGAGCGTAGTTTGGAAATTAGATGAGGATGGGGAGATATATTGTCATTATGTCTAGTTGGAGGTAGCATGTTGTGAATATGAGTTGATTTATGGTTTTAGTGGTATGTGAGGTGCTTCTGGGATTGCATTATTTAAGGTTTGCTTTATTATCTGGGATCAAACCCGGATCGTTAGGGTTGGTTGGTAACACTCTAACCTCTACGCCACAGCTGCTTTTTTGTTTGCCTAATATTGTTAAATTTTTAAGACTAGGAGATTTTAACCTTAACTAGGTTATAGTAAGGGAAAGGGGGTTGAGGCCAAAAAATTATCAACATGCAGACTTTTTGAATTTGTCCTTCCAAAAAAATCAATGGCATTTTTTGACATGGCTATGTCCCACCCCCCCCCCCCCCCCCCCCCCCTCCCTTAGAATCTTGTATAGATCAATCATGAGTCCAAAACCAATAGCATTCATATGCGCCACTTAAACCAACCATCAAAACCATTTTATTCTCATTTTGCTTATTACAAATTTCTTTTTCCATTTCAAACTTTGCTGCCGCTCCAAAATGCTGGATGCATTTTTCTTCTAATCCCTTGACATGTTATCACGGTCCACAGATCCCAGAGCTCTACTCAACTTTTACCTTGCACATGATAAATGGTATCAAACATGGAAACGACCATCTCTAGATGTTGATTATATAAAAATTTATGCTGTTTAGCAACCTGAATGGAATTTCTTTTTTTTTTGAAAAGCAAATTGAAGGAAGAAGAGACAGTAATAAAGCAGGAATGTGGAAAATTAATAAAGAAATAAGGGGCCGTTCACTTATTACGTTCGCATTTTAGGGGGGGAGGGGGGGTTTGAAAAATTGAAACAAAATGTAACATAGAAGGGGGGTGTCAAAAAGTATGTAACGTTCTAACTGTCGTCTTTTAAAAAAAAGTTCACAAAAAAAAAAATTCACACCAAAAACATTTTTCCACCTTTTTATCAAAATAAAATAAATTATAAACGTTTCAGGGGGAGGGGGGGGGGGGTGAGTTGTAACATATTGTAACAAGGGGGGAAGGGGGGTGAAAAAAATCAGTTTTTTTGCGTAACGTAATAAGTGAACTAAAGAAATTTTCTGAAAAAATGTAAATTGGGGGAAGCGGGGGGGGGGGGGTGAGTTGTAACATATTGTAACAAGGGGGGAGGGGGTGAAAAAAATCAGTTTTTTTGCGTAACGTAATAAGTGAACTAAAGAAATTTTCTGAAAAAATGTAAATTGGGGGAATGGGGGGGGGGTGAGTTGTAACATATTGTAACAAGGGGGGGAGGGGGTGAAAAAAATCAGTTTTTTTGCGTAACGTAATAAGTGAACTAAAGAAATTTTCTGAAAAAATGTAAATTGGGGGAAGGGGGGGGGGGGGGGGGGGGGGGGGTGGGGGTGTAAGTTGTAACATATTGTAACAAGGGGGGGAGGGAGGGGGGTGAAAAAAATCAGTTTTTTTGGGTAACGTAATAAGCGAACGGCCCCTAAAGAAATTTTCATTAAAAACACTGAAAAAATGCAGCATAAACTATTTTTTGGCATGTTTCAGTGAGTGTGATGTGGGACATAAAATAATAATATTCATTAAATATATCCATAAAAATTTTTAATTATGAGATATAACTTTTGATATTTAAGATGAGCAGAACAGCAACGAAGATGATGAGACATAACTGAAAAATATTTCAGATTCTTGGAGCGCTTGAATGTTGTGGAGCTTTAGATGATCCATGGGAAAAATACAGAATGCGTTTGTGCGATGGAATTTTTTTATTTTGTCGATGGATGTTGGCATTGTCAGGAGAATTTTGCCTGTTCTTTGTGATAAACAAAAAATTTAATTTCGCTGATTTTAATTAAAATTTTCATCCTTTTCATTTATGAATCTCGATATCAATCCAATATTGTTATTGTTTCCAACTAGCTCTCATAATCGACGTGGACTTTTAATTATTTATTTTGCTATTCCATCTCGTTGTCAATATTAAGTAGAAAAAAACTCGAATTAGTACATTTTAACTTTAAGTAACTTAGTGATATTAGTATCTCGATATATTTACCGTGTGATGTCTCGAATCTAGTAGTGCTCCATAGCGCATCTAGTGATATTAAGCCATTACAAATGCGAAGAAAAAGGAGAAAATTATAAAATAATTTTAAAAAATAGAAATCATTTTTTTAACACGTCGACGGAATTAATTCAATTATGAATCTACTCAACATTGACAATGCAAAGGAACTATGTATACCAGCAGCTGCAATCATTTCATCACCAACGAAATCACCGCAGACGAGTCCCCATTTCTCACCAAAAGACAAAATTAATTTATGCTTTAAAATTTTTAAATTATTAAGACGAAATACGATATTAAAGCTTTTACTACCAGTAACATTTGTTATTCTCCTGGTAATGCTCCTTATCGCATTCAGGAGCTCAACCAAAGTCGTTCTCATATGGATTGAGACACAGAATTTATGGACAACTTTCACAATCTTCATGTTTTTATTTACATTAGTCAGCTTTCCATTTGCATTCGGTTATTTAATATTGTTAATAAGTAGTGGTTATCTCTTTGGTGCTGTTCGAGGATTTGTTGTCACGATTTTGGGTGCAAACTTGGGTGTTGCTATTGCACATACGACGATAAAAAGAATGCAAAAAAGACTTCCATTTCATAGGTGAGTTATTGTTTAATTTTGATGATTTGATTCTATATTTATTGGCATCGTGGGATGCCAGAACTATCTGGCTGTGCACATTATGTGAGATTTAATGTGTTTATACATTTTGAAATGCGATTCAATGGGGATGTGGAGTTTGAATTTGTAAACATTCTGGTCATTGATGTTTGAATTTGGACATTAGACTTTACTTAGTAATACATGGATTTATCTGTGATGAATTGACAAGCTATAAAAATATTGTGTAAATTAGCAAATAGCTCGGGTGGACAAAGTACTAGTTAAAAGCTTGCCATTGACTTGCCTGTTCATGGCGAGTAAGTATCCAATGACGTGCCTTTGCAACTAGACTTAGGGACGACTAATGACATATTTTGCGCTTTCCATTTAACTGGACGTAGGAATTGCACATATGTCTAGTTAATGTCCAGTTACAAAAAAATCGAAATAAAATAAATAACACGTGACTTTTTCTCCATTCTTTTTCTTTTGTAAAATTCTATTATTGTATTAGTGTAATTAATTAATTAAAGTACGCTAAGCCTTATAAAAAATCTCTAGTAAAAATTGAGTCTCGAACACTTGCGCGTGAAACATTTATATTTACTTAAAAGTTTCATATAAATTTGGTGAGACTTTATATAAGTGATTTCTGCAAGCGCTTGTGAAGTATATGGTCAAAAAAGTAAGGAAAATTATTTTTGAGTTTCGAGCACTTGATTGATTAGCATGAATGTCCAGTTAAAGTCTAGTTAACGTCTAGTCTTTTATGTCGTATAAATTTCGGCAAGTTAAAAGACTGTTAAATGATTGTCCAATAATGGACTTTAACTGGCTGTGTCCACCCGGGTAGCAGTTGAAAGAGACAGCATTGAACTTGGTATTTGTAAATTATAAGCTATAATCAACTGATAAACAAGCTTGATGTGTCATCAAATGGAGACCATAGATTTTAATTGATCTGTGCCGTTAATGTAATAAGTTTAAAAGCAAGTTGCCACTGTCCATTAAGACTAGAGTGACTTAGTCTAGAAAAACTTCAAAAACCAAACCTAATTCTCCATAAAATCAATTTTAAATCACAAACAAGAACAAAGCAAAAGCATTCAAAACAGTAATCAATTTCACACAAACCAGACCCACCAATTCCGATCCCCTGCAAGTAAATTAAAATTGAAATAAATTAAACAATCGCGGAAAAGCAAAAATACAGAAATTATTTATACAGCTGAGAAAGAAACATCTCGTTGTATTTATTCTTTCCGTATGTTTGTATGATTTTCCGCAGTAACAAGACCAAGCATAAAATTTAAGCATTAATGAGGCCACAGAAGAGACGAGAGTGAGAGCAGTCGATGTAACTGACATCGTAATACAATAGCTTGATAGTAACGCACTTTCCAGTAATGTAAATTTTTTTCACTCTTGTTTGCGACACTCGCTCGACGCTCATTGAATTTAATGAAATAATTTAGCGTTTTATTCGTGTTCAAGCCTCTCTTTACACACTGATGTCATTTTGTGATGATTATTGTTATTGCTTGCTGGGTATTTAATGATGTAAAACTGTAAACAAACAAACAAGCATGAAAGTTTGTGAATTTTGATATGTTTAGGATCGTATGCTAGTGTCATTAAAAATTTGCGAGCACAATGGAATGTTGAAATCTGAAGCGTAAATTATTATTTTTTGATAGGAGCGAGTTTGGGTTCATAAAACTCATTTTATCGTGAAAATTTGCATTTTAATTGCAATTTAATATTTCTAGAATCAAAATTTGATGCAAATGAATTTAAATGCAACAATTTTAAAGCTTTAATTCAATCAAAATTCACAAACAAATGTGAATACGTGAGATTTTTAATTCTTTTTCTAATCAGTACAATATTAATCCATTCAAAAATTTATTTTTAGTCCTCTCAAATCCGCAAATTTGTGGACTTAAGCTTATCATTTGATTTGTACAAATTCATAAAATAATTTGTATGCAAGCTATGTTTAGCTTAGAAGTTCTGATAAGACTTTCTGCAGAAAATTGAATTAAAAAGTTGAAAATATTATTGTTGGAATTGCTATTGCTTGATATTTATACAGCTGGACTCAATTTTGCATAAAATTGCTTTTACTTTATGATTTTATTTGTTATTGATAAGATGGGGCGTAGCTAGGGGGGTTTTAGTCAGCCCCTCTTCTTTATTATTTCAATTTGCAAGGGTTTTTCCAATGTTAACAAACAGAAATTTTAAAGATCTTATTATTCGAACTCCAAATTTTGTAGGTTCTTTTTTCGAATTTTGAATCTTCGAAGTTCTTATTTTTCGATTAATTTCTAATTTTGGTGAATATTTCAACTATTTATCATGATTAAGAAAAAAATACCGCGCATGAAAATTTTAAATTTGTTTGTTTGCTAAGGGGGCGTTCACTTATTAAAAGCTAAGGGGAGAGGGGAGGGGGGTTTGAAAAATTGTAACATATTGTAACAAGGGGGGGTGAAAAAAGTCGTTTTTTGCGTAACGTAATAAGTGAACGGCCCCTAACATTGGGGTTATTTCAGACAACACCCCAGAAATTCCCGTCTACAAAAAAAAAATTCCAATCCCAAGTTTCAAGTTTAAACTGATGAACGTCATCAATAAAAAGCCCTAAAAGAAAATTCCATTTGAATTTGAATTTATGAGAAAATAATTCATCTGAATCAATTACGAAAGTTATCTCAACATCTGTATATTCAAAGTAGATTGAAGCTTAAAATAAAATGTAAATCAGGGATGTAGTTGAGAAGTTTTTAAGTTTTTTTTAAAATCTGTGTTATTTGAATTTTTTTGCTTAAAAAACCAAAGCAAATTAGGGGCCGTTCACTTATGACGTCCAGGGGGGGGGGGGGGGGGGTGGGTCAGCAAGAAAAGAAAAATAGAAATTCCAGGAAATCCATTGTGTTTTTTTTTGAAAAATGACCTTAAATTTCGGACTTCATAAGTGAACGATCCGTAAGGGGTCTTGCTGATCCCCTTGGACGTCATAACTTAAACGCCCAATATAAATTTTTCCAAAGAAGTACCCCAAAATCTTCCTCCTAGCTACACTTCTGTTGTGAACTACTAATTGATATACTTAACAAGAAAAGAAGAATTATCTCTGAGTGCTTGCATAAGTCTGTTTATTAATAACTATTTGATTTTGAATGTATGAAGAGCTTAGATGCACAAATGAGTACTTTTTTGGCATGGGAAACAATTTCTGACGTCTTCTTTGGCATTATTCATTTAGAAAATCAGCAAAAAAACTAGTTTCTATCCATTGGAGTATCTTACATTGGTTAAATCTATAACAAGCTCAATCTAGTATTTTCATTAAATATTCTAGAATAAAATCATTCTCATGCAACTCTGTTTATTCGCGACTCCAAACATCTACACTCAATTAACTCAATTGACCAATAAATTAATATCAATAAATCCATAAAAATTCTGCCGGAAATTTATCAAAACTTGCAAAAATAAAATTTAATACCTAAATGACTAATCAATACTGTTGCATCCCAAATAAAAATAAAAATCCCATTTGCATCCACAAACCCCACAAATCACAAAACTTGTCAAAATTATTTAAAATATTCCGACCATAATTACGATAAATAATGATGATATTTTGACTTGTCATAAATAATGATGTCAGTTTGCGGACTGGCTTCATATTATGCATATTTTGAGAACAATCACTCATGTCTCGTGCTTCATCCATAGTGAATGTATGTGTGTATGTGTATGTTGGCCATAATGGTTGAGGGAAAATCATTTTGAGGAATTTTTGAGCAGAACAAAGACTTGATTTAGATGCCATGAATATTTTGTATTATGATTTTGTGTATAATGGAGATTTAGTGCTTGAAATAGATATGGGTAATTGAGACAGGGTTGTATAAAGTTTCAAGGAAGGTCAACCACCTCTTTCCTTACAATTCTTTTCGTTAGCTTGGATCCAGGCTTAATTGAATGCCACAGGTCGATATTCTTAACATCCTTTTAATACCACTAAAATATGCTGCAAAGCAAATAAAATTAATATTCTATGTTCCTTCCATGTCATTCATACGCTCATCAATCTCATCATCACGTGTCCACGACTAGTTCATGCAAGACGAGAGCAAAAAAAAAATTATTTGTGGCATGTAGAAAAAGGTATGAACAGCGAGTGAATAGAAAGGGGTTAAAAATTCAATAATCGCTCATGTTCTACATGTGATGCTGGCTGTGCATCACAACATTTATTGACGGCTAAAAAGAGCAGTTTTTATGTGAAAATGAACTTGCATGGAATTTGAAAGCAGCTCTCTCTCTTTTATTCTGCGTCATGATATCGTGTCGGTGCATTAACAATATTCAATATTGTGGAGTAAGTTTGAATGGGCTTTTGTAAACGAGTTAAGGGTGACATGGATGTTGGAAATGACGATGAATTGCTGATAATTTAATAGAGTTGGATCATTTCTTTCGTTCATAGGTTTTATGGAGATTGCTTTTAGATTCTGTGTTTTTGTTGACTAGCTGAGAAGTTTTGAAGCTCAGGTTTAAAAGCTTTTTGTCAGAGACCTGACATTCTTTTTGACCATTCCGTGATAGTTCCCAAAAAAACAAACTTAGCTCTGAAATTTGAAAACTTTAAAAAGTTCTCATCATAACCAAGGGTCAGACACTCCAAAAGTATTGTAATGTATTGTACAATACTTTACAATACATATGAAAGTATTGTAAGTATTGTACAATACCGTACAATACTTTGGAGTGTCCGACCCTTGGTCATAACATCAAACCCAACGCCTGTCAGACACTTCATCGATACTTGACATGCCTTCAAAAATTCCCGCTAAGCAAAGAATTTTGTTATGAAAAAAGCAGCACAGAAAACATTTTTCGCAAGCATGTATGAGCACATATCGCTATTTAGAATTTTCCTATGGGAAATTCTCTATTCATCTTCGTCGATCATCGCTCTTTTATTCAGTTCTTCATCCTAGGTACACATGACATACATATTTATATTGACTTATAGTTTTCAATAGTTGTATGCGAGGTTGAATGGTGTCAGAGTTGGATCAAGGGTTTGGTACTGAAGAAATGATCAAAATTGATCAAAAATGATCAAAATGTAATCTTCAGTTCCACACCTTTGAGTTGGATTCTTGATAAATTGTGGGTTTAAAGCAGTGTTGTTCAAGCTGTCTGCCACGGCACCTTGGTTTGGTGTAATTTTTTTTGTAAATGTTGCGAACCGGATACTGTGTGGAACTTTGGTAATGGCTTACTCCTAAGGTGTGCCGTGGCTCAAAAAAGTTTGGACAACACTGGACTAGAGTCTGATTGACAATTTTTGACTTTAATTGAGTAACATGCAGCTCCAGAATCCTCTCAGAGAATTTTGTCATTCATCTCCCACCTCCACTCCTAGTATCCCCCACAGCCAAGAACAAAGAGATTCAATTTATTTTATATGTAATCAATTTAAATATGAAAATTTATTAAAATATATGGATGTGTATATGTATCGCTATTGAGGCCGAGAAGAGACATGGGAATTATAATAATCATAGAACACAGAAGGAATCAAAATAAGAATGAAAGAATCAGCTTGATTTCCCATGCAAATTCAATACTCATCGCAATTCAATTCAACCGATATGGAACGTTGTGCTCACGTATAGACTGTGTCACACATCAAACGATGTATTAAATTAGATTAAGGCTTTTGGCGTTGGCTTTTTGTTAGTTTGATCTCACGTGGATGAACTTTTTGATGTATAAAGCCTTGACCATGGACGACTTTGGTACGTCCTTGAAAATTGCGTTGGTTCTTGTTGAATGAAAAATTCCAACGAATTGCCTGTCAGAATCACTGTATTCTGATTGACAGATTGACTAGGTGTTTGATAAGTTGAAATTTATTGTGATTAATGCTTTAAGCGACTTCCTGACACAACAAATGACAGTTAAATGAAGATAATTCGCAAAATTCATTAAAAACCATCTGTTTCAACCACTTTGTGTGTTCAATTGTTTCAGTATCCACCTAATTATCAGTCAATATTTGGCCAAAATTAGCGCAACAATTGTCATCACAAACAATTCAAGTAGAATTAGCAAAAGCTTTTAAGGCTGATAAAAAAAAAATCACATTTTATGACATGATATGTTTATGAAAATGTTTAGCACGAGATTTGAAGTTTCTATTTACATAGCAATTAGCATGTTAGTGATAGTGATTGTAATATATTTTTATTTGCTTTATTTAATGTGAAATATAGTCGTGGGGTCGATCATAAATGACTTCCATGAGTTTCTCCTGCAGTTCACCAATGAAGTCGATTGAAAATTAAATTTTAAATATTTATGGTTTAAACTTTGTTAAGCACAGCTGTCGACTCATTAAACTTCAATTAAAATCTGACATCATTTATTAAGATCCTTCCTTGCATGTGATTGTTATGTACATTGATAAGTACAAAAATTAAATTTGTGTACATTAAATAAAATAAACAGCACATTTAGGCTGTTTATGACTGCTTTCCAGGAATGATTAGTCAGTTTATTATTTGGTATCATTTTCGTTTTTTTCACTGCGGTTAAAGCTGAAAATAAATAAATTTTATGAATTTTTTAACTTAACATTATTATAAGCCCATTGTAGCTACTCCCGATTAGCACAAGTCGATTAATCGAATAGAATTCCGGAATGACTGTGGATTCATGTTGGTTTCGATATAGATCCAACATCATGCCAGAGTCAAGCCGGCTTGGGATGAATTTCTGATCGATTAAGCGAATTCTGCTATTTGGAACTGCATCAAACCAATCGAATGCATTACAATCCATAAACTTCATATCCAATCTAAAATCTCATAACTCTATCAAATAATCTTGATTACCATATCCATATTGCACTCTAAACTATCAATCATCCCCTTAATCCTAATGTTCATAATTCATTCTAAATTCATCTAAATATTTCAACAATAATCCCTTCGTAAACTCATTGACCTAACGTAGTTCAATGGCTTTTAATCCATTTCTATCAATATTAACATAAATATCTATCGTCACATTCAGGACAGGAAGTAAATGATCACATAGATCTCGGATGAAATATATCTATGAATGTGCTTCACAGTTGTGTGAATAAAATCAATAAATTTTCTTTTCATTCGACTTGCTGCTCGATTAATGACTTCAATGTGAATGCTCAATTTCTGTGTCAGTGGAAAAATGAGGGTTTTTAGAAGTGGAATGGAATAATTATTGTTGTGACTGGACATTTAGTTTTCATTTGCGGAAGTTTACATTATCTTTTGGGGTCATGTGGTTATTGTGGATAGTTTAAAGGGTAAACAGGGTGTGTTCAAGTTTAGACTAAAATGGTACAAGGAAGTAAATTGGATTAATTCATCAAAAGAGATAAGATAAGCAATATATGAGTTTTTATTGACCGTTATTGATTACACATTTCACTTTTCCTTGGATGACGGACCTCCTTCATCTTTACCAACTTGTTGTTTCAACTTCACTTTATCATCAGCTTTGGTATACGGTGTACTATCATAGTCATAGTCATCGTAAGACACATGACAACTGAATTTAAAAACTTGAAATAATTCAATAAAACTTTTGACAATTATTCGCTTAGGTCCACTTTTTGGTTTAGTATCTGCTTCCGGTGAACTCGTTACATAATCACAACTTGCCATTAAAAAGTCATCTGGTAAGACTGCGATCGCTTCATCTCTCAATTTTTTATATATTGGATCATCGTCAACGATTGGATTTAATGTTTCTATGATTTTAGTGATTATGATTGTAGCTTCATTGTCATCTGGGTTTTCTTGTAATTGTTTGACGTACCCTGCGATGATTTCCATTGGATTTTGTTCTGTATTTTCGGCCATTTTTGGAGTATATTAATATTTCTCCTAGAACTCAATGATGAATATTTTCTTGCTTGACAGCTTTTGAAACGAGACTGATTGATATGAGTATAAAATCTCGACTAGCATGAACTGAGTAACTTAAGATTAATCATATAAAATATGCAATTTGTATGTGTATAGACAACATAAGGGTCGTTCACTTATGACGTCCATCAAAAAACCTGATTTTTAGCCCCCCCCCCCCCTCTGTCACAAAAATTCTATAGAAAAAAATTTCCATTTTTTGAACTGTCACAAAATCCTAGAACCCCCTCCCCCCCTAAATGTCGGACGTCATAAGTGAACGGCCCCATATATTAAAACACTGAAACCAAGGGGATAACAACATGATGAGTAAAAGTTTTGATGAAAAGTTCCCGATCTGCAATCTGAAATTTTTATTAAAATATTGAAGTGTATGCATTTTATAGAGCAACTTTTCTTATCATGTTGTTTTCCTTTTGATTAAAGCTGTCAGATTTGTGGTCATTCTCTGGTAAGTCCAGCATTTATTATTTTTTAGAGGATTTAATTTGCTTCAATAATAAAAAATTTCTTTAAAAAATCTCTGATTGAGGAATAAGCTCCTCTCTGCTCATAGGATTGTTCATAAATGACGTCAAAATATAGCTTTCCCAAACAAACGATAGAATTCCATGGAATTCAATTATTTTGGAGCTACTTAACGAATCCTCTCCCATGTGACGTCATTTTTCAACGACCTATGGTCCTTAAATCTCATCTATAGACGTCATTTATGAACAACCTTCTTAACGATAAAACAATAAAATTAAAATAATTCATACAGAACAATGAGTCTAGCATACGACTCAAATTCAGTACTTATCACACACATTCTCAAATCCCAGCCTCAATATCCACAATAAAATAAGAATATAAACCATAATCCTATTCCATTCCAAAATATCATGAAAATTAAGAAACTTCGAATCCACCATTAAAGCACAAATCGAAAAATTATGCCAAAAAATAAGAAAGAAGAAGGTGAAAAAAGTTTAAGTATGTACGAGATATGCATGAGACATATCGAATGAAGAAGTAATTTTTTCTTCTTTCCAATTTTTCTTTCCTTTTTTTCAGAGGTCGAAGCGAGCATAGCGAAGCGAGTTTTTAGCGAGTTCGCTTCGCTAAAAATTCAACTTGCTAAAGTTGACCTGTAGCGAGAATTTTTTTTTTCTTTTCGCCTTAGCGAACTATAGCGAACTCAATTTTATTTTTTTCGCTTTAGCGAACTATTAGCGAATTTAATTTTTCAAAGTTCGCTATAGCGAACTATTGGCGAACTAGAAAAATTTTTTTGGCTTCATATTAAGAGATGTCTGATTGCGTTTGTGAAGTATGTAATTTCATACAAAATTGCAAAAAATTATAGTTCGCCAATAGTTCGCTATAGCGAACTTTGAAAAATTAAGTTCGCTAATAGTTCGCTAAAGCGAAAAAAATAAAATTGAGTTCGCTATGGTTCGCTAAGGCGAATAGAAAAAATTTTTTCTCGCTACAGTTCGACTTTGGCAAGTTGAATTTTTAGCGAAGCGAACTTGGCGAACCAAGTTCGCTTCGACCTCTGCTTTTTTTTGGCCCCGAAAAAATAAAAATCCACATGAATAGAAAAGAGCATTTTGCGGTAAATTGATAACAGACATGTATCATGTGCCTGACTGTCGGGTCTGTTACGATAGAGTGATGAAGAAAAGACAGGATGAAAATAAAGAATTATAAAGCACATAAGTAAAACGAGAGGACTCAAGAGAGCCTTCCGGGCGAGGTTGACAAAATGAATTTATCTTTCTGAATTTTTACACCGAAAAGAAAAATTGTATGTGCGTGTATGTGAATGTCGTCGTCATAATAAAATAGGAAGAATGACTGAATAGATGACAAACTTGGTTTTGTGTCACAAGAGACTGACATACTCGGAATGACAGCATATTTTCCAGTCACTCGACGATAGAACAGCATTAAAATACTCTCCTGGTTAATCAGTTAAAAAATGGATATAGAATCGTGACGCAAATACTCAAATACTTTTTTTTCTGATGCTCAGTTTTGTGGACCAGGGTTGGGAGATGGATGAAGGAGACTTGGCTTAAAATTTTGAAGGGAATAAGATATTTTTGTTAAAGAATTTTTGAAATTTGAAGAATTTTCTGTCAAAGGTCTTCACCTGTACTTGAACAGGTGCATGCATTTAAGGATGTTCCTGTACAAGTGTTTAGATCTGAGTATGTCTTGGACTGGTATCCTTGAACGGCACTTATCAACCTGCCAATCTGACATCTTTGCCTATTCATCCCACCACAAGACCATAAAACAATTATATTCTGTGACTGAACTTTTGAACAAATTTATATCTTTTTGCAGCACAGACACCAACCCTGTATGTGGACTTTTAACTTTTATTTTTTCTTCGCCATTTCTTCTACTTCCTTATTCTCTTAGTTACTCATGATCCCTTTATCAGCTGTCTTGTCCTTTTAATCTATGTATTATTTAGCTTTACATTTGTTCTTCCTCTGCATCCTTTGCCGCTTCTTCCGCTCGAGTTTTCTTTAACAAATACTTTTTTTTTCGATCCCTTGGATAGATTTTTATTAGATCCGAAAATTGCGATGTGAAATTTAACTGTATTATCTGCTTGAGGACGTTTTATTGCTGGGCTGTGATTCAGAGTTACTTTTGAGAGTGTTTAGTGATTACTGAGTCTTAAGTTGATGCTGTAGATGGAGGTTGTTGTCTATCTGAATATCAAGCTAGTATGAGACCTGCTTGATGTAATATTCAAGTTCCCATTCAATTAATGCTTCGGATTGTAACATTCAAGCTTCAAAATAGCTTTAATCTTCAAAATTTTAAACAAATTCAGGTTCCTACCTCCTCGCTCTACGATAATGAAAATACCAAAAAATAATATCATCGCCAAATAAAAAGAAGAAGTCGTGAAAGTAAAACTAGAAGAGGAGAAGAATATTGATTGGGAATAAATTATTCATGATGGAAATTCGATCTCATAATAATGATGATTCTCGTGTATGAAATTTACCAAACTTTCTCATTTCTATTTTCAGATTAATAAAAACAGAAACTGGCCGTGCTATATTGAGGGTCATATCTGGTCCACGAGCTTTTAAAGTTGTGCTGTTTGCACGTCTAACGCCAATACCATTTGGACTGCAGAATACGATCTTTGGGGTGAGTTGAATTGAGGATTTAAGCATTTATAAGACTTAGTGGTGTTTCGTAACCAAAGCAGCACATCCGTTTCCTTAAGAAATATTAAATTCTTTTTTCCGGGAAGTATTACTTGTTTGCCAAAGGCGACATAAGTTCCTCCTACGTTTTGTAAATATATTTAAGAATGAAGTTATTATTCCTGGTATTTATGTCCTAAAGCTGTACTTTAATATCAATTTTATTGTAATATACCTTAATATTTAAAGCGTGATTTGGAATTGTTAACCTTGGGATTATTTACTTGACAATCCAGCATGTCATGAGATCCTCACAGCCAGTGAAGCTCATCTTTATTTAGATTTTAAGGAGACCAACAATCGACGACCTCCTTTCTACCATTATTTGCATTTTGTAAACAATGTCAATGAATTAAGGTTTTAGCTCTAGAGACATGACTACAGAACAAGCAATAACAACGAATGGTCTCTCAATCCTTCCACAAATCAATAAACATTCCCTCATTTTCCACATCATTAACTAAAGCTCATTAATCAACATAATCGTTGATACCTTCAAGCTTAAATCCAAAATGCAATTTCTTCATTTACAATAATTTCATCTCAACTCCTTTTTGTAATCAACATCTTACCTCCTTTTAAGCACCCAACTCACCTTAATTCTCAACTCCTTTCTGTTTCAATAAACTTTGCTGCTATCCACCCCCGCATTGATTTCCACACCCCCAAAAAAACACGAAATATAACTTTGAGGATTCACAAATTAATTTACTGAATAAGCACATTTCAATAAATGATGTAAAAGGATCAATGGAAAATTAGAACGAAGAGTTTTGTAATTGAGATAGAATAAATACCAAGATGTTGAATTACTAAATGAGATGAAAATTGTAAATTATCTGGTAGCTGTAATGGGAAGAATTTTGAGTTGAATGGCTTCTTCTCATCTTTTGATTTGGGTTGGATGTTTAATGAAAATTTATTGTGGCTGATACAATTGATTATAAAGTTTTCAATCAGCTTCGATGCAAAAAGTTTTGGGAAACTATAAGTTTTGGAGTTTTAAATTCAATCAACAGACTTAATTTGAGGGTTGTTTGTAAATGACGTTCACAACTAGGCTGTCCATCAATTTTTGGTCAAAAAGTGGAACACGTCCTGATTTTAGCTCTGAAAAAGCGGGACAGAACTAATTTTCAAGTATTTTCCAAGATTAAAAGGTTCAAAAAAGCAGGTCATTAAGGATCTTAGGCAAGACTGTTCAAAAAGCGGGACTTGCCCGTCCAAAATTGCGCAGATAGACAGCTAAATATTCAGACTACTCCTTCCTGCCCAAGCACAACTTAAAGTTAACGTGCCATTGAATTAAAGTCGTATTCAAAAGGTTTGTGGTCTCCCTCCTTGCCACGTTCAGAGATCATCTAAAGACAGCTCTATCCTTCGAGACCATCTGCCAGTTCAGGATATTAAGGACTCTAGCGTCCTTATCAACACATCCAATCCAGGTTTGGACGTGAGCCTCAATTTAAGAAGCTATAGTTGCTCTCCTATATCACTAAGACCCAACGCTATAATTTTCATGTCATAAGCAAACAATTCCATGTAAAACTACACGTGCTCCCCACTCCATCCCAAAAAGTATCCCTATTCATACACACAACGTTTTTTGTATATTATATTTTTGGGTACAGTAAGAGCATTAATGAATAGATTGATGTAAAATGAGGCACACGAGAATGAAACAAAAATTTTAATTGATTTACACTAAAACCCATCGTAAAACGGGGAAAATTTTCAATTAACTGAGCATTTATAAAGCTTTCTGAGCTTCATTATTCATTTTATAAGTGCTTTAAAATTAATTTTCTGCTCTCGCTCGAGTTCGCCGATTTTCAATTTGAAAATTTTCCCTTCAATTTGAATTTTCCCATCAATATATCCCACACCCGTCCCCATTTTTATTCACATAAAAATAAATTTGTATTTTTTTTTTTCATTTTCCAGATAAGTTCCGTTAATTCATTCGATTATCACACGGCAACATTGTTGGGTCTGATGCCAGCTCAAGCGATTAATGCATATCTCGGATCAAAGTTGCGGTCAATTCATGATGTGATTAATGATAATCATACAGCTTTGGCAGGCTACGGAATGTTTGTTGTTGAGGTGATTGAATAAAAAAAAAGATCTTTTTTTGTTAAAGTTAAATAATGCGAGTGTGTTGAGGATTGAGGATGATTATTGGGATGTTGGGTATAGGGATTCTGAGGTTTTGAGGATTTTACGAGGCTTATTCGATTTGGAGGGATGCAAAGGTATTTGTTGGTGGATTGATCAGTCAAAACAATTGTCAAAAGGCGCATTACAAGGATGTGGAACTGAGCAACTGCCTTTACAAGAATGTGGAACTGAGCAACTGCCTTTACAAGAATGTGGAACTGAGTAACTGACCTTTGATTATTTTGATCAGTAGTTCAGTCTTAATCCTGATATCATCTATTTCTTGCTCCGTCCATTGACTAATAATAAAGATTCTTTGGATTTTTATATCATTGTGGTCACTTCTTTGAGTGCCAACTTCATGACTCTTAAAAACTTCGTTAAATTGCTTCAAATCTTCCAATTTCCATAGACTATCCAGCATCAAATTCCTCATAACCTCAAAAATATCAGAATCCCTATCCACTAAACCCCAAAACAATCCTAAAAAAGCATCTCATTGATTTTATAATAGCTGTGGCATACTTTTTTATTATTTTTCAATACCCAATCCCAATATGGGATAAGCGTCAGGATATACTGTGGATAAAGCTCACCCACACACTCACATACATCCATATACACACATAATGTCTCTCTCTCCCCTTTACACTCGATTTAATTTCGGTTGTGTAATTTATTTCCTGTCGTTCACTCAATCAGGTCATAGTCGGTGTCAGCTTGATGATATGGGTCGTGCATAAAGCGAAATCAGAACTGGCAGCAGCCCTTCTCGACAGCATTGACGTGGATGAAAAATTGCTGATTGAAGTTGATGTCTAAAGACGATTTTTCTTTGAACAAAAAAAAAACATCTCTCATTGAGTTAATTCGTCAGTCATTTATACAATGTGGAACAAAGAAGAAAAAGGCAGAAATGGAACTCATTGGTATCAGGATATTTCATAAAGTCGTTCATTAATTAAGATAAAGTACCTTTTTTGATATAAGCGAGTTAGGGGAACACAAGAAATGGAATGGGAGCATATTTAGTCACGACTCCTCCAATTTTTACAATTTCTATGCAGAATTTGAAGTTTGATGGATTTAATCAATTGAATGTGGAGTTGACAGGTTAAATGGTGTTCATGATAGCTTCAAAAAATGGAGTAAAAAGTCGTTGGAAGTTTCATTGTTGAAATGATAAAACCGCAGTGATTAATGAGCATTAAAATGTTGAGTTTTGAGTTGATTGTGTTAGGAATTGTTGATGTGATTAGAATTAAAATTATGAAAAAATTATCTGAATATTTTACTCGAAATAAATTTAAGGATCTGAAAGAATATGTTACCAATAAAATTATAAAACTCATCTTTTTTCAAGCTTGAATGGCTAAAAAGCAAGATCAGTAGGTGAGGGGTTGGAGTGGACACGGCTTAGCCTTAATTAGGCTATTACCACTTCAGCTTCGTGTCATCTTTTCGGATAAATATACCATCCACGACATCAATGACCCATTAAATCCAATCATCCTTCTTGCTCTGCCATTAATTTTTACTATGATGCAATTTTTCTGAGAAAAAAAAATATGTCAAATTTTATATAGAAAATGTAAATTATAAATTAAGTAAAATTTATTTAAAATAAAATCAATTTATAGTAAAAAAATGTGAATATTGTAAAACTATTAGGATGTATAAGTGTCCATAATTCACAAATATGTGAAGGGTTGAGTAGAAATGAGGAATGTTTTAAAGGGTGATCAAGTGAATGGATCATAGGTTTATATTCCTACTTTAAGGAGGTTGTAAACTACAGATACTGAAATCTTTCCAGCACTTATGTTTGGTATTAGTTCTGATGACTTCATTCTTAGATATTTTTGTTTAAGTATAAGAAGTCAAATTGTAAGGTTTTTAGCAACTTTATGTTTTGGTTGAACTGATGAATCTCCAATATGATTAATAATAAATGTCAAAGTTCAATTCGGCTTCATTTGACTCGAGTTGAAGTCGTTTTGTTAACAAATCTTTCTTTATTTCAAATTTGGAATTATTGTAGTTTAAGTTACATTTCTTTGAGTCTTATTTTGACACCAGCCTGAATATGGCTTTAATTCAACTATATCTTGATTAATTATTAATTTTGATGAATGAGATTTACATATATCATGAAAATGTGGCATAAAAAGTTTAAAAAAAGTTGCCGAGCGAGAAAAAAAAAAAAAAAAAAAAAAAAAAAAAAAGCTTTTTTTTAAGCTTATGAACTATGTTAATAAATTATTTTTGAACTGGCTTGTTCGGTGCTGGAGGGCATCCTTTGGGATCTTTCCGGCTTCGTCGACGAAACTGCAGAACTGATTTATTGCTTCTTCAATGTTGGGGATTCTCTTTAGACGTTCTTGAGCTTCTGTGAATTTCTTGAAAAGGCTTTCATTCTTTACTGCTTCGTTGAGTTTCTCTGCATAACTGATATTATTGATCAGTTGTTGCTGATTAATCTCTTCTTTAAATGTTGCTGATGAGTTACTTGCAGCATTCACTGGATGTGAATGAGCAGAAACTTGATGTCGTTTGCTTAACGATGGAAAATTGTTACTGTCCAAAAGACTTGATATCTGTGGCAGCATTTTGAGTTGTGGTTTGGCTCTTGACTTTTCGATTCTTTTGGAATACGAAATGAACGATGGGCACAGTCTATAACTGGCAGCATGATCGCCATTGCAATTAATGCACTTGGCATTTCCATCACGAGTGGATCGTTGACATTGATTTGGTCCGTGAACTTCCGTGCACTTGACGCATCGGAATTTATATCCACAATTTTGAGATGAGTGACCCCAACGTTGGCAGTTGAAGCACTGCGTTGGGCTTTTGTTGCCCTTCTTGATGTTCTCCCACTTGACGATGATGTTGTCGATGTTACGGTGGTTATGATTGAGCACGTTGATGTTCACACTTTCATCTTGAAAATGCACAAGATAAAAGGTGAACTCGGGCTTCTTGACGAGAATTGTCACTTTGACAGCTGAAACCTTGGCTTCTTGAAGTAATCTTAGTACTTCATTCGTTGGTGTTTCGTAAAATCCTTTCAGAACGAATGACTTTGTTTTCTCCGATTTCTCGGAGAAGGTGTGGAATTGAATAGTTTGAGACCGCAGAAGGTTTATTATTGAGGCCTTATCCTCAATAGACTTGACAATTACTTGAGTTGTATTTGATGATGAAATTTTATATGCAGGCATAACCTGCAATTTCAATAGTCGTTTTGTTAAAATCATCTCAATTATAAGTTGAGTCTACTTAGACGTCAATTATTCATCAACTAAGGTAAAGCATGGAGAGGGACCAGCCTTTTGAGATGGAGGTACTGCGATTCATCAACTTAAGTTGGGATTTAAAGTGGGATTCAAAATTTGATAACACAGAAAGTGCTGGGATTTTTTTTTTGGGGATTAATGCCGAGTGAATACGCCATACTGGACGACATTGATCTTTGAGGAATCGGTAAGAATCGAACCCACGTCTTCACAAAAGTTTATTCTACGAATTTCTAATATGTTGCAACTCTATTAGACTATGAAGATCATAAATCAGCACTGTCGTATGCTGACAAATTGACCAAGCCATAATTCATATCTAGGATTCTAGAATTTTTAAATCAGTATGATAATTCAATCAATTTCACTCCTTTGATAGATGCTTAATCTTGATCGCCCCTTCAAAATTCACTTCATTTCTCTCATCACCAAAATAAAAAAAAAAAAATCCTTTATAATCTATGTACATGAAAAAATAAATAACTAAGTATTGATATGAACATAATGATGAATCTCGCTCGAGAGCAAAGAAAAAAATATTTTTGTGAAAATAATGAAAACTATATTGATATAATTAAAACTAATTTACTTTATTCATTAGCATATTAAAAAAAATTATGAAAATGTTCTCTTCTGACACAAAAAATAAATAAAATAAAAATAATAAAAACGTAAAATGAGAATCCAAATGGGAATAATGAAAATTGAATAAATTATCAATTAATTATTGTTGTGGCATTGAATTAAAATTTTTTTAGGAAGCAGAGTTGTTGGATGGGGATTGTTGGTTTCGTAGAGTTTACAATTCGGGGTTATAAGTCAAACTCAATCGAAGCTACAAACCCTAGTTGATCTCAATACACCCAAGCAAGCAATAATGCTGTATTGGAACTAAAACTTTAAAGAAAATCATCAAAATCTAATCTAAATTATTAACAAATGTTTAAAATAAATTCCATAAATTGCTTCTACATTTCAAGTTGTTCTTCAATTCCATTCTTTAATAAGCTACAAAACCAATCAGCCTCACTCCATCAACTCTGCATGAAACATAATGAATCCGCATTATATACACATATTGATAAAAATTTCCTCTTAATTGTGATAATATTTATTCAGTAATTAAATTTTTTTACACACACACTCACAAAATCGACAGCAAAAACGTTCTGATCAATTAATTCTTCCCATTCTATTGATAGAATTTTTTCTTCATTTTTTTATCGTGAAATAAATCGATTTTGAATGCTTCTATTTTCATCGGTAATTTACTTCCTAAGCAAACAAAACACAGAAAAATAAATTTGCTCGCATTTTCAAGAGAAATTAATTTTGTCGAAAAAAAAAAAGCTTTTCTTATTTATTTATTTGCAAAGGAATATAAAATTTATTTTCTTTTTCGTCGCTAAAACCTCGAATTCGTTTAAAATGAGAAAAATACAGAGCTCGAAGTCGATGAAATTTTGTAAGACTTGGAATTGACTCCGCCATACAAAATCGATGAAAATCTCAAGTCGACTTCGAGCTTTGGAAAAAGAGAAAATAAAACCTATAAAAATACACACATCGATTGAGGAGTTTGAAGATAAGAAGTGCTGAATATTGAGTTGTGAGATTATTTTGGGGTTTGTTGAGGTTTAGCGCATTTTTGAAGAGGCTTTAGGGGTCCTTAATTGATAGGCACTTCTTGATTGAAGATAGCTAGGCTAACCCTAGTTAACTTTCCAATGATTTTTTAATGCCATTATGTAAGAACACAGTAAGACTAGGTCCATATCAGGTCTTATTGACGTTGTCTTCTCAAATCTTCAAAGGAATCAGATTCACACTGAGAATTTTGTAGCTTTTAAACTATATATTAACCAGCATACCCCAAAAAGCCATAGAAATCTCTCCAGACACCTCTAAAGTTCCCCACAAAAAATTTAAAAAAAAATCTTCATCCTTACCAAATAAAAAAATTCTCTAAAAAGTGATAAAGAATTGAGAATGAAAATAAAAATATTTATTCATGCACTCAATATAAACACAATAAATTTCCTACATTTCCTCTTTTTTTGCTCTTGTAGCGAAATTGAGGCAGCAAAAAAGAATCACTCCATCTACAATTTTGCTTCGTCAAGCGAAAATTGATTTGATAAATATTTAATTTTCACTCAAAAATCTCTGAGAATCAATCAGTAGAAAAAATAATGAACAGTAAAAAAAGTGAACGAGGTCCTCTTGAAAATAGCAGAATTTTTTATTTTTTGATGTGTGTCGTTTTAAAAATAAATGGTTTTAAATCCTTTTTTTGTGGGGAATTTGTCAGCATTTTTATAGATTTGAGGTTGAAAAGTCAATACTAAGTTAAAGAAAAATGTTGGTAATTTTTAATTGATGGTGAACTTATTCGATAAGAGTGATTTTGGACTTGATGGAATCTAGAGTATTGAACTATAAGTAGGCAAACCTGCCAATGTTAGATTAGAGTCTGAATTGAATGTTTAAGTATCAGATCGGAAATCTCTTTGAAGATGTAGTTTCGATTCTCACCAGATCCTTAAGCTTGCAAAAATCTCATTTCTGACTAAAGTAGTCCCTAGCCTGATTGGCACAAGTCACACAATGATTGAACTGTTTATTGTTATTTTAGAAGTTGCTCAATGGCACTGAAGCTTGTGATTAGATTAATCTATTTATTTAAGCGATTTTAAATTGAACTCAAACTCTCAGTTCACAAACTACTACTGCAGTCCCTAGCATGAATGACAAAAGTCAGTTAATCGATCAGAAAATAAAACACCAAGCTGATGTGACTCTGGCTTGGTGCTGGATTTAAAACAAAGCCAGAACCATGTAAGAATCATGCCTGCTTGACACCGGATTTTTATTCCAATAACCGACTTGTGTTTTTCAAATAGGCTTCATTGCAAAACCCTTAAATCTATGAATCATAAAGCTAAAGACCAACAATCTGAAAAATAATCCAAAACTCTGACAAAATTTCCCTCACAGAACGATAAAAAGCAGCAACAATATTATTTTTCTGTGCAAAAAAAAAACAAGAATAAAGCGACCAAAGATATAGAAATTTAATATAGTTGTCATTTTTAATGTTCAATTGTTCTCTTAAATCCCACATAAAACCGCCATAACAAACAGAAGAAGAAGCAAAAAAAATTAAAATAAAGTGAGTCCTTCTTTTCTGACATGGAAGAAGGAAAAAAAATCCATTAAAGTGCCTTTTGTTGTTTTGCTACATGATTTATGAACGATTCCATAGCTTTTTTTTC